GCTTTTTTCATGAAAAAGCTGTACAATAACGAGTTATAAAAGTCGCAATTTATAGTGGGCTTTAAAAATTCTAATCTCTATTCGCGCTTTATTTTGTAAAAAAATGTCTCAAATTTTCACTTGATAAGAAGCCGATAGGCCGGCGGTGGAAAAAACGCTCATATATCGCTCATATATATAGTCATAGAACTTGACAAAAACCTTAAAGGTGTCAACAAAGTTATACCGATTATCGGTGCGTATGCAGAGACTAAAAGTACAACCGAATCAATTTTATGTTATTCGGTTATCAGTTTGTCGCGTGCAACATTAATCATGCGCATAGACAAATCACAAAAGCCATCATCGCGATGGCAAAAATCTCCGTAAATTGCTCCCGACCGTTAACGCTGCCATTACAATGTCGACGTCGAATCTGAGCCGGCTTCGGATAAGCGGCCGACAATAAAATTACTGCCAGTGTGTCAAAATATATAAAATATTGCATGAAATCAATACGTGAGTAAACAGACAATGCTTGAACAATTTCCAAGCTTTGGTCCAATGGATCATATTATTGTTTCAAGTCCTTATCTTTGCGAGTGATGCCACAGCGATACGGGCCTTTGGCAAGGGGTATATACTTCATTTTCCCGCAATAAAAAAAAGACTCGCGAAGCTTCGTTTTGCGGTTGCGACATAAAATGGTCAAAAAAATATACAGTCTTGACTTTTTAATTAATAGATATAAACACAGGCTTGTCGCGTATTGCAATATTTACATGCCTTAGCGAAAACGGCGAGATGTCGAAGATACGAGATCGAGAATTTGCTTGATACGCTTTTGTACTGTTTGTAGTTTTCTGCTGGCGAAATCTCGCATGTAGCGTAGCAACCGGGTAAAATGACATGGCTACTCGTAATTATTTGTACATTTAAAATACAAAACAATTCCACTTACTTGGATTTAAGCACAGTTTCCCACAGTCCTCGTCGCATATACAAATTTCATTTGGTTTCAAACAATCTTTATCATTCTCGCACTTTGCAATACGCTTACAAAACCTTTTGTAAACCCTTTCTTTCAGACGAGGTACACATATGTTGCTCTCCCTAGATTCGTGTCGACCAGTATACGATCCCTCTATTGGGGGAAAATACAAAAGAGGAACACACATTAGCACGGTTCGCAAAATTATGCCATGAGTATCACGATCTACAATTCCATATTACCCAGTCCTAGACCATCAATTATGTGAAATAGGAGTAACCATTGAAGCTTGAAAATTTTCCTCATAATATCATCAGAACTTCCGGTACACTACCCTTTGAAAATGTTACTGACTACATGTTGTGCTGATTTGGTCCGCACAACTATGTCCAAATACTACAAGTATGTCATGTTGTAGTGTCAGGGGGAGACACGGAATAGAAGGTCAAAGCGAGATAGCACATGTTTACGTGTGCGCCAATCAAAAGCACGCCTGCCCACAGTGTCGGCAGGTGCTTCGTTGTATCAAAATTGCTCTTTGTTTTCAAAGACAGAGGCAATCGCATGGCAGTATGCATAATTTAGCATGAATGGGTTAAAATGATGTGTGTATATTGCAAACGCATGTGTGTTTTGAAAACATATTAAAGTGAGCCAGGTGCTTAAGTGCTTTCGTCAGAAGCGCGAAATATACTTAGGGTAAACTGTTGAAGATGCAAGACGATCATGGTTGATTCGAGGTACGCATTGACGTCTTCTTGGCAAAATTCAACTTGATTAACACTCTCCTAACACTGTCTTATATTACCAACATCTGCTCACGGACATAATTTGTTTCTGTAAATGCAAGGAGTGTAATGTTCAACTATTTTCAACTTTGCTTCAATCGACTTACGTGAGAAGTATTAAGTACATCAATTCATCGTAAGTTGTCACCATTCAAAACTTAACCTATAACCAACAAAGAAAATGTTATTTAGGGTAATTCAGATCAGAAGACAAGACGAAACTGTCCGCGTCGCGTTCCAGACATGCAAGTAAGTTGCAACAAATCTGTCATAGCAATCCGATATCCGCAGGACGTGTTCGTAACGGTCCGTACTGTTGTAACAAGTTGCAACTCATATACCACTTGTTACAAATTGGACAGGATTAAATCAATCTGATAGTAACTAGTTTGTTGCAACTGCTCATACGCAGACGATATCAAATTTGTTCAAACAACTTGTAACAACTCGTCAGTATAAGCTTGTTGCAAGATGCTAACAATTTGATACAAACTGATGAAAGACTTGGAACACCAGAGTGTATTGATCTCAGTGCAAGTGTATCATGATATATGTCAAGTACATTGTCTAAAATGTGGCAATTCCAAACTCAAAATGCGTCCATCAAAACTAGTTAAAAACGTGGTTGAAATTTGAATTAAGAATTTTGGAGTCACGTACAGGCCTATCTGAACCTGGAGTGGTTACTGCCTGACAAACTCCAAAAATATTTGTCTAGCTGCACACGAATAAAATCTACAGGCATCGGCTAGGAATTATAGTGTATATTAAGCCTAGTTAGTAGTTTGACCGCATAAGAATTTTGCATCGGTAAATTCTAGGTTTTGAAGGATTTGTAAGAAATGTTTGAGGGAACTGCATGACTCAGTGTTTATTACCATTGATAATTTCTACTGTGATCACAGAAACTTTGATAGTGTAAGCCATGCTTTATAGAAGATATTTTCACGCGTGTAAGGGTAATGATGCATGTATGTAATCATGGTAATTAATTCAGTGTATCGCGTGCGAAGTATTGTCAAATACAATAATTATACAGTGCAATTATACACCAAGTATATATATACATAACATAATCTCAAGTGTTCACGCTGAGCGTCATACTGTATCAATGAAGGCAATCAAACGGTCGAAACAAGGTAAAACAAAGACCGTTATTCGCGCGTATTGTCGTCTTTTCAACACACACATGTGCATGACTTGATCAAAGCAGCATAATATTGGATTGTTAGCAAACAATAGCAGACCGCGTGTTGAGGCGGAATAAAAATAGCATTGCATCATGAACTGATGAACATGCACACGTCAAAACGCACAAGTTGTAACAAATCTGCAGCAGACTTGTAGCAATGCTGTTCCAACAACTTATCAACAGGATGTGTTCGCACTGCTTGTTGACAACTTGCTACAAGGTGTTGAGCTCAACAGACTTATTACAAGTTGTTGCAACAACTTGTTATCGTCCTGCAATTCAACAATTTGTCAACACGTTGCGAGTGACGACCTTGTAGCAAATTGATAAAATAACAGCATTGTTACAACTTGTTGACAAGCTTGCTACAAGCCTGTTGCGAACACATCCTGTTGATATAAGTTGTGAGCTTTTTACGTGTGTAGTTTAAAAGAGTGTGTATATATAGTCTCTGCAGTCAGGTTTTCTGTAAGAAATTTCTGAATTTGAATCCTTTGTTGGTGATGTTTTATATTACTAACCATCAAACTGCAAATATAACAACCATGAGGCATGAATCTATTCGGTGTTGGTGTCAGTGGTTAGCAATAGCATTTGTTTTGATTTTTGGAAATGCTCAACCCGGCATAAATCTCGGATGAAACGTGGATTAGAGTACATGAGGGTTGGCAGTCACGTGACCTTGGTTAGCTGTTCTTAATGCTTTCCCAACACTATCATGTATTCTATTTAAGTTAAAACATAGTTGGAACACTCGCCAAACCTTTATTTTGTTAATCTAGAGCTTGAAATGTCCCCTGTGACAATGCGTGACTGGGAACTCTCATCAATTACTCACTTCCACGTTTGACCACTGGGCTGATCTTACTCCAATCCTAACTATAATGCTACCATTGTTCTAATCCTAACACTACTACTAATCCAAGTATCCAATCACGTCATCTGGGGATTGATTGGCGGTTTTCAGTAAGCGCTAGGCACCAGCTGATGACACGAAGATAGCGAGGCTAGCAGCAGAACTACATACAATGAAACGAGTTGGCATTCTTTTCTCACTCTGAAGCTGCAGGTTGTCCGCCATGAATGATGTTGCTTAATGAAACCAGTGATGAAACCCAGCAATGAATACTAAAGTCACCCAAAAGAGTGACCAAAATTATTTCGCAAAGAATGACAATCGTTGACCTAAAATTTCCATATATATATATAAACAAATCCTGTGAAGTTGAGTATTTTCATATTGCTCTCGGCAAAACAAGCGTTAAAATATATTTCGTGCATTTAAATGTGATAAAACTCGTTTCCAATCCCCGTAATTGCCTCGATATCTCTCAACCCCATTTGAGTCAACGAATTTTTCCTCGAATTTTTCGTTGTTCCTTGCAGTGCCAACTTGCATTCATGTGTGATGTATAAAGATACCTCTAAGGCCTGATTCTACCAAAAAAACTAAGTTCTGTACGCTTTGCATTGTAGCATCATTCACTTGCAGCAGTTTTGCCAAATCAATTAAGTGACTTATGCATCACGCCGAGTCTAAGAAAGCTTACGAATGGTTCATTAATTATAGAGACTTCCTTTACAAAACCTAGTAATTCTACGACTACATAGTTTCCTACAGTATTAAGTAAACTAAAACCACAATATTGGCGAATATAGCCTAATTTGATCACATCTGTTGAAAGATCGTTTCATTATGTCGCTCAGACGCGTATCAAAATAAGCCATCAAATTTTTATAAAAGCAAACTCCGTTTCTTCAAACCGCAAACTAATGAATTGATCTGAATAGCTTTCGATCACATATATCAACTAAATAATACATATTTAATACGAAATCCGATAAATAAACCGAAAATATGCGAAAACAAAGCGGTTCGAAGCAACAGCCGGAAACGGGGCTAGTTTGTTGGCTAAAATATTTGAAATTGCCGTGTAAAGAAATCTGGACGACATCCCCACTTATATTAGGTCATGAGCTTGCATTTAGGAAGGTCTGTTTGTGTAGAAGACGGATGGCATAAGCGCTGCAAGCCAGTATTAAAGTTAATATGACCATGGATGTTCGAGGGAATTCGCCTATTTCGCCGAGCAGTGAAAATCGCGCTTTCACGCGGGAAAATCTTGGTGACATTGACTACACCAGTCAACTGGCAGCGACAATGGCAGAATTCAGAAAGACCGGTCAACTTTGCGATGTTATCATTTCAACCGAAGGGAGAACGTTCCAAGCGCATAAAATCGTCCTGGCTGCAAGTTCGTCGTTTTTCCAGAGTCTATTCACAGTGGATATGAGCGAGAGAAACAAACAGACGATTAAAATGGACAACATTGATCCCCCCACGATGAGTCGTGTATTAGACTATGTGTACACAGGCGCTTTAACCTACCCAAACTCTGCCGATGCCAGAGAGTTGTACCTCGCAGCGGACTACCTAATCCTACCGGGGTTGAAGCACAAAGCAGTTGAAATCATGGTCGAAGCTTTAAGCGCTGAGAACTGCCTCCGTACGCTGGTTTGGTCGCATAAATTTTCGAGCCGTGCGCTGTTCACGCACACGTTTCGATTCATATTGGATAACTTTAACAGCGTCTCCCGCTCAGCTGACTTTGTGAAGCTCCCAGCTCGTGAGCTGAAGCTCTTGTTGGCGAGCAATAATCTGCGAGTCGCCGATGAAGAAATTGTTTACGAAGCTTTGAAGCGCTGGTGCGAAGGCAAAGCCGATGAAAGATGGAGTCAATTTGCAGAGCTCTTCAAATTAATCAAACTTGAGCACCTATCAGGTTACTATATTGAAACCACTATCCAAGAGGACGTCTTAGCTCTTCCCGATGAGGAAATACGTTTCGAAATCTTGGAAACCATAACAGAGTATACGGTTTCCGAGAATTCTGAACTGCCAACCATCAATCTGCTACAGCCACCGCGACGTCATATTGCCATGGTAACCTGTGTGCTAATCCCGGATGTATACGCGTATATACCAACCTCCAAAGAATGGCTCGAGATGGCGCCAGTGCCCACACCGAGAATTTCTAGTTCATCTGCTATTTTCAACGGTCTGGTTTACAATGTGGGCGGGTTGGCCGGTTGTGGGGACAGCTCTAATGTGGTAGAGTGTTTTGACCCCTCCGCTAATTCGTGGTTGTCCAAAGCCTCGTTACCAGTCCCTACTCGAGCCGCGGCTGTAAACGTCTTGGATGGTTTTCTATACGTAGTGGGTGGGAGAAGTAACAGCGCCCGCTTTAATATCGTACAGCGGTATGACCCTTGTAAAGACAACTGGACCTTAGTGACGTCACTCCATGAAGAACGGAGCGGAGCGTCCTTGGTTAGTTGCCATGGTAACCTATACGCCATCGGTGGTCGGAAGGACGACAACACGTTTCTAAGCTCGGTCGAATGTTACAGCCCTGCCCAAAACACGTGGTCATTGACCACACCCATGTGCGTTGCACGTGCCTCATCCGCGGCGGCTTACATCCGGGGTAAGATCTACGTCATCGGAGGTGTACGTTCCCCTGGAGTATCCCATAATTCATGCGAAGCTTACGACACGACCCTTGACCAGTGGAGTACGATTTCTAGTAACCTCGTGCCCAGGTCGTACGCAGGCATCGCGGCATTCGAGACGAGCCTGCTGGTATGCGGTGGTGAGGACAGCGGTAATTTCTATGACACGGTCGAATGTTACGACGTTGAAAAAGACCGATGGGAGATTGTGGACAAAATGCCGAGGGTGGAGAAGTTCGTAGACTGTTGTCCGATGTTCATGTCCAAAGACTTACTACCCATATTTCCTAGTGCGAAGTGCTGATGTATACAGTACATGTGATTTTAGAGTATGTAAAATAAAATAAATTATTTTATAAATGTATTGCAAGTGTTTATAACTTTTATGCATGTTTTATGAAAATGCGTTGTTGTTGAGGCGGGGGGGGGGGG